GTCCATAATTTGTCATGATCTACACAATCAAATGCTGTTGCATAGTCAATAAAGCATAAGTAAACATTTTTCTGGTATTCTTTGCCTTGAGCCAAGATCCATCTGAAAGCAGCTAAGATATCCTTAGTTCCATGTCCTCTTCTGAATCCAGCTTGCACCTCTGGAAGTTCTCTGTCAATATACTGCTGCAAACATTTTTAAATTATTTTCAGTAAGATCTTACTTGCGTGCGATATTAATGATATTGTTCAATAATTTCCACATTGTGTGGGATCACCTTTCTCTGGAATGGGTAAAAATATTAATCTCTTCCAGTCATTTGGCCAGGTATGTGTCTTCCAAATCTCCTGGCATAACAGAGTGAGTGCCTCCAGTGTGGGATCCGTTTGTTGAAATATCTCAATGGGTAATCTGTCAATTCCCGGAGACTTGTTCTTCACCAATTCTTTCATTTCAGCTTTCACTTCCTCCTCCAGTACCATTGGTTCTAGATCATATGCCACATCCTGAAATGGATGGAGATTGACCAGTTCTTTTTGGTACTGTGACTCTGTGTATTCTTTCCACCTTCTTTTGACGTTCCCTGCGTCATTCGCATTTTGCCCTTAGAATCTTTCAATATTGCAAATCAGGCTTAAATTTTTCCTTCAATTCTTTCAGCTTGAGAAATGCCAAGCATGTTCTTCCCTTTTGGTTTTCAAACACCAGGTCTTTGCACATTTCATTATAGTAATTGGCTTTGCCTTCTCGAGCTGCTCTTTGAAATCTTTGGTTCAACTCTTTTATCTTGTCACTTCTTCCATTTGCTTTGGCTACTCTCTGCTCAAGGGCAAGTTTCAGGGTCTCTTCTGTCAACCATTTTTGTCTTCTCTTCTTTTGTTGTCTTTTTAGTGACCTCTTGCTTTCTACATGGATGATGCTCTTGATGTCATCCCACAATTCATCTGGTTTCCGGTCATTGGTGTTCAATGCATCAAATCTATTCTTTCGATGGTCTCTAAATTCAGGAGGGATATATTCAAAATCATATTTGGCTCTCATGGACTTGTTTTAATTGTCTTTACGTTGAACTTGCATATGAGCAGTTAACGGTCTGTTTCACAATCAGCTCCTGGCCTGGTTTTGGCTGAAGATATTGAGTTTCTCCATTACCTCTTGCCACAGATGTAGTCAATCTGATTCCTGTGTGTTCTATCTGGTGAAGTCCACGTGTACAGCCGCCATTTGTGTTGTTGAAAAAGGTGCTTGCAATGAACAAGTCATTGGTCACGCAAAATTCTACCATGTGAGTTCCAGCATTATTTCTGTCTCCAAGGCCAAAATTTCCAACTATAGGTGATTTTTCTTTGTTTCCAACTTTTGCATTCCAGTCACCAGTGATAATTAACACATCTTGATTGCAAGTTTGGTCAATTTCAGAATGCAGAAGTTGATAAAAATCTTCAATTTCCTCATCTTTAGCTTTGGTGGTTGGTACATAAATTTGAATAATAGTTGTATTAACGGGTCTTCCTTGTAGGCGTATGGATATTATCCTATCACTGACAGCATTTTACTTCAGGACAGATCTTGAAACATCCTTTGTGATGATGAATGCCACGCCATTCCTCTTCAAACTGTCATTCCCGGCATAGTAGGTCATATGGTTGTCTGATTCAAAATGGCCAAAATCAGTCCATTTCAGCTCACTATAATGACAAGAATATCAATTTTTATGCCTTCTATTTCATTTTTGACAACTTCCAATTTTCCTAGATTCATACTTCATACATTCTATGTTCCAATTATTAATGGATGTTTACCACTGTTTCTCCTCAGTTTGAGTGGTGCCACATCAGCAAATGGAGGTCTCGAAAGCTTTACCTTATTCATATGAGTAAGGCTGGTTTTACTCTGATAATGCAGCTCTTTCCCAGTCCTACTTTGAGAGCTCTCTAAGCTAAGTGACTCATCTTCCTCCTCTGTATTGGACAGTGTGTCTGGACTATTCATAAATTTGCACAGTAATATATCAGACAGTGTTTCTCTGCTATTCATAAGATTTTCTCTGGCCAATTCTTTGAGAAGTGGATGGCCTCCTCCTTCTTCCTAGTCTGTCTCAGTCTGCAAGCCAGGCTGATACCTGTGCACCAGGTGCACCTCACTGGGTTTGAAATACCAGTGGCACAGCCTCAAGACTCATAGCAACATGTCACCACAGTAGGACAAACTGACAGACAAGTTTGACTCCCTTAGCTGTTGGAAACCCCTCCAACCACCCTTACCTGGATCCCTGCGGCTAACTCCTCGATCTGTTCCAGTCCCCTTTGCCTTTTCTGTCCTCTCCCTGCTTCCTGCCTCGTTGCTTGTGGGGGTTGGCCTGGGTTCCCTCTCCTCACCTGGCTCCCTGCGGTTGACTCCTCAATCTGTTCGTATCCCCTTTGCCTTTTCTGTCCTCTCCCTCCCTTCCTGCCTTGCTCCTTGTGGGGCGTGGCCTGGGTTTCCTGTCTTCACCTGGGTCCCTGAGGCTGACTCCTTGATCTATTCTGGTCCCCTTTGCCTTTTCTGTCCTCTCTCTGCTTCTCACCTCTCTGCCTGTTCTTGTTGTTGTTATTGTTATGTGCCATCAAGTTGGCCCTGACTCATAGTGACCCCTCCTTGGGTCCGAGGCAGTATCTCTATGGAAGTAGATTGCTCAACCTTCCTTTTGAGGAGTGGCTGATGGGTTTGAACCACCTGCCTTTTGGTTAGCAGTCAAGTGCCTTCAAACCTGCCTTTTGGTTAACAGTCAAGTGCCTTAGGCACTATGCCTGTTCTTAAGTCTCTGAAATCCAAATGAGAATGCTACCACTTTAAAATCCAAAATGGTTGCCACTTGTAAACATTCAAAATGGCTGCACCCTTGGTCACTTTAAATATCCAAAATGGCTGCCGCTTGTAAACATTCAAAATGGCTGCACCCTTGGTCACTTTAAATATCCAAAATGGCTGCCGCTTGTAAACATTCAAAATGGCTGCACCCTTGGTCACTTTAAATATCCAAAATGGCCACCTCTTTTGCGGGACCAGAAGGTGGGTGGGAGTGGGGGATGGCCGAACCTCCATTCACCAAGCAGGTATGGGGTATAAGAGTAACAAGGGGAATGTCACACCTTGTCAGTCTTCCAGGTCCAGAGTGTCCTTGGGGCTACTCGGATATCTTCTGGAGGCTAGAAGTCTGAATTCCAGGTGCTGGCTCTCACACTTATAGAAGCTGGCAAGTCCAAAGTTCTCAGATCAAACGTCAAGATGGAGGCTTTTCCCAACTCTTGCAGCTGCAGGTACTGAGGAGCTCAAGGTTGGCAGGAAGTACACTGGCTGTTAACTTCAACGAATGATGAATCCAAGATCTCCAGGCTGAATGGTGGATTGTTCGCTCATGGACAGGTGTAGGCAGCACAACAGAATCCCCTGCTACACTCCAACTATTTGTTTACCCCTCAGTAAGTCAGACCTTCTCAATGCTCTAACTCTGGGGCTCCATAAAAAGTTCAGCAAACTTTGAAGAATTCAAATGATGTTGAGTGTGTTTTCCAAACACTATGGAGAACACTTATAGAAGCTGGCAAGTCCCAAGTTTTTGGATCAAAAAACAAGCTGGAGGCTCTTCCTGACTCACACATAAAGTAGTACAGAAACTTAGAAAAATAGTTTGACAGTTCCTCAAAAATTAAATATAATTTACCATTCTTGTTGCTGTTAGGTGCCTTTGAGTTGGATGCAACTCATAGTGAGGCCATGCACAATAGAGCCAACACTGTCCAGTCTTGCACCATCATGACAATTTTTTCTATGCTTGAGCCCATGTTGCCTCCCCTATGTCAGTCCATTTACTTGAATGTCTTCCTCTTTTTTGTTGATCCTTTACTTTATGAAGCATTATATTCATCTCCAGGGATTGGTCCCTTCTGACAACATGACCAAAGTATGTGAGATAAAGTCTTGCCAACATCGCTATTAAGGAGCATTCTGGCTGTACTCCACCACTCCTCTGTCAGTGTGTCCTCCTATGGTGGCTTGCATGTTGCCGTGAGGCTGAAACTATGCCACAGGTATTTCAAGATGACTTGAAGCTTTTACCAATGAAGATCAAAGACTAAAATCTTCAGTATAGATGACATCTCAACATAAAGAAAACAAAAATACTCACAATTGGACCAACAAGTAACACCATGATAAATGCAGTGTTAAAGAGCAAAGATGTCAATTCAAGGATTAAGGTGCACCTAACCATGATATTTTCCATCACCTCTTAGGCATGTGAAAGTTGGGCAATGAATAAGGAAGACCGAAGAAGAGTTGATACCTCTGAGTTGTGATGGTGGTGAAGAATACAGAATAAAACATAAAGCATTTTTCAGAGAAATAGGAACTGTGGGAATTTATTACCAACAGTCTTGCACTACAAAGAAACTTCAAAGAAAGTTCTTCAGATAGAATGCATATGAAATCAGACAATAACTTGGATCCAAACAAAGAAATGAAGATCTCCAGAAATTTTTAAATGAAGGCAATTATAAAGGACCTTTTTTTCCTTATTATAATCACAATAAATTATTGTCTAAAGCAAATATAATAATATATTGTGGGTTTATAGCAAATACAAATTAAAATGTATGATAACAATATCACAAAAGATAGGAATATTAGGGTGTAAAATGTTGTAAGATTCTTACACTAAACATTAAATTTCAAATCTTATTTGAATATAAGATGTGATTAATTACAAGTGAATGTTCTAAATCTTAGGGACATCCCTAACTTTAAAAGAAAAAAAAAAAAAATCTTGAAACCAGATTTTGCCAACAATGAAGATAAAATAAAACCATGAAAATTAGTCAATCCAAAAATAGGACAAATTTGGAAAAGACAATAAAGAAAAAACAACTTGCAAGATGAAGCTTTTAATCTGTCCATATTGGTAATTATGTGTATAAATAAAAATCTTTAATATGAAGACTACATATAAGATTTTGAGGCACTCAGCCTACTGCAATTAGCTTGATCTCCACCATCTGCAAACATATAGGAAACATCTGATAAATCTTAATACAGTATTTTATAGCTACCATTTGGACAGTCTGTGCCTTCTCACTCAATCTCTGTAGATAAACTGGCTTCAATATGGACAGCTGGAATACTAGCTTCTCCAATGTCACCAGGGTTGCAAATTATTTTCTTTAGCTGGCTGCTGAAGTAGATGTCCTTTTAATAGAGCAACATCTTGGTCATGCTCAGAATATTGACACAGAGCATTGGTGCCTAATTAATTTCATCTTGTTCATCAACTGTAGGGATAGACGTAGCATGCTTCCTTTTTATTCCCTATGCTTTTCTACTCTTTCAGACTTACTGTAGGTATAATGGCTGGAAATCCAGCAGTGTCATAAGATCGAGAGGATACCTGGCCAGGATCTAAAGCTGAAAGCTCAAGAGTCAGAATTACTTATAACAGAGTGGAGCAACTACAACTTCACTGGACTGCTAGCCTGCACTATTACTTTGTTTGATGTTTGTGGAGAAGAAAAAAAAAAAAAAACTTACTTTCATCAAGTGTCACCAGGGTTGACTCATAGTGACCTCCATTGCATTTCTGAGGTGGTAAATTTTTACAGAAGTAGATTGCCCCATCTTCCTTCCATGGAGTGGCTGGTGAGTTTGAACCTATAACTTTCTGGTTAGTGGGCAAATGCCTTAGGCACTGTGCCACCAGGGCTCCTTTGTGGAGAAAGGAGGGGCTTAAACTATTTAAGCCAGTTGGTGATACTTGTTAACTGCAGACAAGTTTCAATTCTTAAGATATGCTTATGCTGTGTAGAAATGATAATGGAATTTGAAATTATATCTTAAGTCTCACTTATAATAAATATTTGGCAAAGTGAAAATTATAGAAGTGTTAAATGTGACAGCATTTGTGTGTTAGACTTTGGGGAAAAGAGAAATAGAAAGATGATGGATAGATAGATAGATAGATAGATAGATAGATAGATAGATAGATGATCGATAAATAGATAGGCAGAAAATGATGGTACACAGCCATGTTTTGTCATAGAAAAACCATTTCATGGAATGGTACACTAACAAAAGAAAATAACAAACTATCATGCTTAGTGTGAATCAGTTTATATAAAGTTCTTATAAAGTTAGATAAATATGTTTATCTATTCATTCATATATATTCATAAAATTAACTTCAAGAATTTTTGTAAAAATATTAACAGTGTTTATATCTCCAATATGAGATTTGGAGAGACTGTCTCTTGGATTTTTGTCATATTTACATTGTTTTAATGAATGCATATTATCTCTAATACTATCATGCCATCAAATATTTCATGACTTATGAAATCTATGAAATGTGATGTTATTCTATAGGTACAAAGTGCATGTGAAGTGTGATTCTTAATTCAGTAAATATACACAAATTTCACCAGAAAAAATACTAGATATCCATGGACATATTAATCATTTCAATGTCTGTGTGTGATTACAGATGATCATTATTTTCTTATTTATATTTTCATTTTATATTTTTTCTATATCAAACATAAACTTTATAATGAATAAATAAGTTTAAATGATCACAATTAAAAGTTTGGGGCATTTTAAAGTTATTGAGGAAAATAAAACTATGTACCTTATTATCACCACAAATAGTTCCACTTGGTACCCACATATGGCTGTAATTTTTATTTCTGTATGGAAAATACAGGCTAACGCATATGTCTCCTTCTACACCAGCATAAAGGACAGCAGCATCTTGTTTTGAAAACGGAGATTTACTTTTAGAGATACACATTAATTTTCCACAACGTAGGTTACTACAAATAGACCAACAAAAGAAAATCATTAATTTTAAGTGATGGAAAAATAATATTTCTAAAGAAAGAAACATCAAAACAATGCTTATGAACAAAATACTGTATTAATTAAATTGTAAAGTACTTAATAATCTGAGGGCATTGTCATGAAATAAATACTAAGTAAACATTTTAATGACATGAATTACTGCCTGATTTCATGCTTTTCCAATTTCCCAGATGTCTCCTTCTTTCATCATATGCCTTTTCTTGTGGATAAATCCCACATATTCTTTAATCACAGTTTAAATTTATTACTTGAGAAAGATCTGCTGTTCTCATAGATTATGTTTAGACAATTGCATTGTGTTCACATAAAACCTTGTTTTGATTTTCTAACAGTCATAATATCTGTAATTACTTCTGTACTGCAATTTCCCCTCAAAAACTGTAAGATTGAAGAGATGATATATGTGAATCCAATGATTTATATTCATCACTTCCTGTACTTTAATATAGTAATACTTATATTCAACTAGTAGAGCATCTAGTACAGTAATTTAATAATTTTTAACTGAATAAAGGTAATGACTATTGAGGTAAGGAGCTCAGACACAGTGTCAGAACACATTAGCCTTGTGTTTTGAGGACTCTATTGTCTATAGACTATCTCAACACTCTCTGGGAACCAATGAAAGCACAGCATATTGGTATTTGTTATTACACTCAACAATGGTATATTCAAAAGTTTCCTGAGAACGAATGAAAGAAAACAAACCAGAAGCAATGTTTTCAAGATTTTTATTTATTTTGTTATTGGTAGGTGTTGGGAACATGCACAGCAAAGCATACCTCAATTCAACTTGTTTCTACTGTAAAATTCAGTGACATTGATTACATATTTCAAGTTATGCAACCATTCTTATCCTCCTTTTCTAAGTTGTCACTCCTCCATTAAGGAACTCTGGTGGTGTAGTGGATAAGGCATTTGGCTGCTAACCAGAAGGTCAGAGGTTCAAACAAACAAGCTGCTCCGTGGAAGGAAGATGAGGCTACCTACTACTTCAAAGATTTACAGCCTGGGAAACCCAGTGGGGGTAGCTATGAGTCAGAATCCACTAGGTGCCAATGAGTGGTTTTTGGTCTTTCTCCTCCATTAATGTCAACTCACTGTTCCTTAAAGGTATGGTTAATGAAGTTAAAGTGTTTTAAGATCCTTATATTCTCCAATAAATAGTAAATGCAATCATTCATATTAGATTTAACAGGGCCTGTATGCATGCAGTAATTTCTTGAGCACTCACTAAAAGAATATAAAAATGTATAAGTACCAAAATAAAACAGGGGAAAATATAAATATTTAAAAACTTAATCCAAAAGAAGAGAAAAAGGAAGAAAAAAGAAAAAAGCAAGTGAACAAATGGAAAATTATAAGACTGTTTAACTTAAACATATCAGTGATTCTATTAAATGGAAGTTGAATAAATGACTCGGTTAAATAGTAAAGACTAATTGGATTCTACAGGAGTAGAATCAATTTGATGACAACTGGCTTGGTCTTTCTGGTTTTAACTGAAAATACATTTAACAATGATTTACAAATATATATATAATGCTGTATTCAACAATTGAAGTAAATGCATTATTTTTATGTGCATATGGAACATTTACCAAAATAGACAGCATTGCTTAGGACACAAAGTAAGACAAAACAAACTTCAGAGGATTAAAATCACAAAGAGTAAGTTCTATTATCACAATGGAATTAAGCTAGAAATGAATATTAAAAAGTTAAGCAATAAGTAATCATTTAGAAAGTAAGAAATACATTTCTAATAACCTAAAGATCAAACAGAAATATCATAATACAAACTTGAAAATCTCTTTATTGGAATCAACACTCATAGGACACACCAAAATAAACACTTAAATGAAAAGTCTTGTACTATTTTATACTTCCACCAATAGTTCATGAGAATTTTGTTTATTCTACACCTTCATGAACAGTCACAGCCCACTAAAATGTCTTTTTTTCCAGAAATAAAATTATTTTAACGTTTTAATTTTAAATTCACAATGTATCTAGAATATTTTTGTATGATGCTTGATGTGGTTGATATTTATTTATTCTTCCATATGGATATAAAATCACCCTGAAGAATTTATGGAATAGGGCCTGCAGACAGTTTTTCTCTCTCTTACTCATTCTGCATTACTAATTTGTAATAAATCTTCTAATGAATTATGTCAGCTATTCTCAGCCTCTTCCACTTACACAATCAATTTCACATTCAACTCTTCATTTCTTGTTATCTTTATTTCAAAAATAAAACACTTGGATTTTTATGGAATGTCATTGAATATATTTTTCTGTATATTTCTTACACATTTTTATTTGATTTAACCTTAGGTATTTGATTATTTTTTCAATTCCATTATATATAAACCAAAAACCAAATTCACTAACATGGAGCTGATTTGACTCATAGCAACTCTTCCTTGGGTTTCTGAGGTGGTATAACTATGGAAGTAGATTGCCCAGTCTTCCTTCCAAGGAGTGACTGGAGGGTTTGAGTCACCAACCTTCTGCTTAGCAGTCAAATGCCTTAGGCACGATGCCACCAGAGCTCATTATATATAGTATTTATTTTTTTAAAAAATATTTTCTGATTATATATTGCTAGTATATACAAGTATATCACATCTAGCAATCTTGGTATATTTTATTATTGATTTTAATAGCTTATCTGAAGTTTTTTGTTAGTTATTTGTTATATTTTTTATGCATTTACTATCTGAACAGACAGTGTTTATATTTTTCTCTAGCTCCTTTATTTTATACTTCCTTTTCATCCCTTTGCATGTAGGATAGTATTTCAGGGGCAATATTGAGTTTGAGCAACAATATCAGCCATTCTTGTCTCATTTCTAATTTCAAGTGAAAACTCCAAAATTTTACTATTTAATATGAAGTTTTGTATAGTTACTTTATAGAAAACTTTTATCAGATTAAAGAATACCCTTTATATTATTAGTTCACTGGGCTTTTACTATACATGGTTGTCAAATGTCATGTTTTCTGACATGTTTTGTCCTTAATCCATCAATGTATGGTGACTTACATTGATAGATATTTTGAGTGTTAGAATCCAACTTTGGTGGTGGAATATTTTGGAAGGATAGCAATAATGGTGATAGGTACAACATGAAAAATGTCATCAATGCCCTGAGCTGTAAATGTAGAAGTTATGCTGGCAAATGTCTTGTGTATGTTTTTTCCACAATAAGAAAAGGAAAAAAAAAAGTATATAAAATAGCTTATTAATATTTTTATATTGATTACCTGGTGAAATTATAGTATTTGAATCTATTGGGTTAAATAAAATAATAAAATACATATTTTTTTTTTAAAGGAGGCAATGGAGAAGCTCAATATCATCAGTTAGAACAAGGTCAGGAGCTGACTGTGGAATAGACTATCAATTGTTCATATGCAAGTTCAAGTTGAAGCTGAAAAAAATGAAAAGAAGTCCATGAGGGCCAAAATATGACTTTAATTATATCCCACTTGTATTTAGAGAAATCCAAAGAATGTAATTGGCCCTTTGAAAACCAATGACAGAAGATCAGATGAGTTGTGGGATGACATTAAGGACATCATACAGGAAGAAAGCAAAAGGTCATTAAGAGTACAGGAAAGGATTTCTGGCAAGATGGCAGAATAGGCAGACAAGTTACACAGACCCTCTATAACAAAGAAATGAAAAAACAACTGAAACAGATACAGAAGATAACCTGGGAGCCCTGAACTTTGAAGGAAAGGATAAAGAAGTGAATTAAATACCAAATAGTAGAAGAACCTGAATGAAAACAGTGAATAAGAAGAGAAACAGAGCTGCAGACTGTCCGCTGTCCCAAGGTCTGCAGCCATTTTGAATATTTGCAAGTGGCTTTCTGATCTGGGCAGCAATCTAAGAATAAAAAGAAAAGGAGAAAGGAGGAGGGAAAAAAGAGTAGTTTAAAAGCAAAACTGGGGGTGGTGTACAGACAGGAATGGATAGCCAAACTATAACACAATGGAATAATATACAACATTAAAAAATAATGGAGAATCCATGAAATACTTCATAATGTGGATAAACTTGGAGGACATTATGCTTAGGAAAATAAGTCAGTCACAGAAGGACATTGTACTAGTCCACTATTGTAAAAAGTCAAGGAAAGGTTTATATATGGAAGGAAACTTTAGTTGTTGGTTACCAGGGTTGGGAGGAAAGGGGAGGAAAAATTGCTAGATAGGTAAGAGACAAGTACTGATTTAAGTGAAAGGAGAGGAAATATACCAAAAGCAAGTGACTAAAACAATAACACTAAAGAAAAGGAAGACACAGAGAGGTGCACAACAGGTACAGACAACAAGATAAATACTTTTAGATATAGAATACTGCATTATCAGTAATAAAAACATTAATCTATGGGTAGATACATAGGTAGACAGACTGAATGATCAGGTATGTCTAGACAAAAGGGAATATATCTATGACCATACATAAGTTTGGCAGACAATATTTCTATATATGTATTTGTAAGTGCTATGTTGTTGTTGTTGTTAAGTGCTGTCGAGTCGTTTCCAACTCATAGCGACCCCATGCACAGCAGAACGAAACACTGCCCAATCCCGCGCCAGCCCCACAATCCCTGCTATACTTGAGCCCATCATCACAGC